CATTCGAGGAAGGATTACAAATAATCCAAGAAGAAGCTGATACGTTGTCCACGGAATATCCCGCTGGGTTTGCAATTTACTGAGTATTTAAGACGTACCTGGCTTTCATTAAAAAATAATATTTCTGTGTCTATACAGACAAATAATTTTATGGAAAATTTTCATTTTGAAATCTTTCGCAAATTTGATAAAACTCATACCAATGTTTGGAATTTTCTTCGTAAGTATTACTTATTATTGCTACTCTTTTGTGCATTATTACATAAAATATATTTTTACAATACAACTTTTGCAGACAATTTAAAAGGTTTCATCGCTGTTCAGGAAAAAAAAATTGCAATACTGACAGAAGGCCGTACTGTAAAGAGAACACGGGTTCGGTATGACATGAATCGCGATAAACGCATTACAGAGGCGCAATCTTTATTATCTTCGGGAAGGTAATTTATATTTTGTTTTAGACAATCTTGCTATAAAAATATGACAGTCATATATTTACGATCCACATTCCTTGAGTCATGTGTAACTATGTTAATATTACTGCATGACTATTAAATTATTGCATAAACTTTTATTTTATAAATTTATATATATTTATATTCTATATTGTTATAGATATTCGTTGAAGGAGTTTCTTTTGGCGCTGAGCAATATAGTACAGTTACTTGAAGAGAATATTGGTTTGTTTCGAAATATACACATATTACGTATTTTAACTCTAGTCATAATAATTTATTGATATAATAATATTGATAATTTAATGACATGTCAATAAACATATTGTAAATTTTTTGAATTTAACAAATAGAAAAAATATTCTTTATATATTGCAGATTTACAAAACGATGTGGATAATGATATAGACCAAGAAATAATAGACGGAAATTTTATAAACCACTTTGCGCGCGATGCGGTTATAGGTACATTCCACATTCTTCTATTAATTTAGTGACGTATCAATATATATATATTTTAATTTAACAGAAAAAAAAGATATTTTTTATACGTTGCAGATTCGCAAAACAATATAGATAATGATATAGATCGAGAAATAATAGAAGACAATTTTTTAAATGACTTTGCGGGCGGTTCGATCACAGGTAAATTCTATATTCTTCTAATAATTTAGTGATGTATCAATATATACTGTATATTTTTTGAATTTAACAAAAAAAAAAGATATTTGTTATACATTGCAGATTCACAAAAACGATATAGAACGAGAAATAGTAAACGATAATTCTTTAAACGACTTCACGAGCGTTACGGCCACAGGTAAATTCCATTCTTCTAACTAGAAACTCTCCTGATACTTTGTGAGAGAGCGAGAGAGAGAGCGAGAGAGAGAGAAAAGAGAGGGGGAATCTTACCTCAAAATTTATGTGCTATGTAATGTGTTTTGTTTTGTAATGTATTCTGTAATGTATTCTTGATTTTATTACATACTTTTTATTTTCAATTTATCTCTCAATTGACAGCATTATTAGAAACGACGGCTGCCGATTCAGTCTTAGTAACGGATAATATTGAAAGAACACCTCTACGTCGTGGAAGACCTCCTCGCATACGTGGTCGCAATCTGAGTAGAGGTAGATGTATTTTTTTTCCAATATTCACTTAAAAGTAACTTGTTTTGCGAAAAAATAACTGGTTTCATAGTTCGCATTTGCTTTATGAAAAATATTTGTA